GCTACACCAGTTCCAGCTGGGCACAGGTGCCAAAGCTGGCTGAAGGGAGCACCCTCCGTGAGGCTACAGGTGCCCTGTCTCGTGAGGTAGCATGTTGGGAAAGCAGCTCTCCCTGAACTAAGCACATGATGCTCTGATCTTCCTGGCATCACCCTGCCATGCTGGACCCTCAGTTCTCAACCAGAGCTGCTACCAAGAGGACAAATGCAGAGCAAACAGCAGCTCCTAACCAAATCACAAGTACGTTAAACAAAACGGCCACATGAAACGTTAGCACTCTGACCTGGAAAAATGTCAACCTTTGCAGACTTTCTAATGCACTTTAGAAGACTGAGTAAAAATAGCTTACTTTTTGAAAGGCTTCTGGCCTAAATTGTAAGGAAATATATACAGAAAACAGAGAAGACTCAACAGGAAGTAGGAATTGACAAAAAGTTGCACAGGCTGGGAAGATTTCCCCTTTAGCAGTTCAATTTGACCAGATGGTACAGAATGAGACCATCCCCAGTGACCACTGAGTAGCAAAATCAGGCTAAACATATGACTTAGTTTGCCCACAGACAGGGTGAAAAATTAGATAATCTACTTCCCATATCTGTATTTATGCAGCTTAATATTATCAGCTAGAATAAAAGACTCTTTCTTCATGCAATCTTTGTCCAGCATGGAATTTATTTTCACATGACGGTTCACACATGGAGGTACTATGGGACCTTTGCTGAATTCCAGCTTAATGTCTGAAGGTTGAGCAAGATTCTTACTTAGCCAGGCACCTGTTGGCATCTGCAACCATACCTTTCTGCTCCTAATGTTTTTCTTTCTGTTGAGTTTATAAAAGTGATGCTGAACATGACATTCAGAAGAGAGCCTCCACCAGGAAGACTGTGGCAACACAGACTGAACTGTCACAGAAACATGTGGCAGTCCAGGTCTCTGGCTGCAGGGAGTGTCTGAGCCTCTCCTGTTATCAAGGAGTAGCAAAAATACCACCCATCTTAGACGTGAGCAGGTGGACAATCTCCTTAGCCCGGTGGTGGAGCTGAAGGAGGAGGTAGAAAGGTTGAGGAGCATTAGAGAATGCAAGAAAGAAATAGACTGGTGGAGCTGCATTCTGCAGCCATCCCAGTAAGTGCACCCAGAGAACCCCCAAATCGACCTGAGGATCCACTACCCTCTTGCCATAGAGCCAAGGGAGCAGAATTAACAGTACCAAGTCAAGGACAAGAACGGGCTCCACAGTACAAGAGGGATGTGGAGCTGTTGGAGAGAGTCCAGTGCAGGGCTACAGGGATGATCAAGGGCCTGGAACATCTGCCCTATGAGGAAGGACTGAGAGTGATGGGCCAGTTCAGCCTGGAGAAGAGAAGGCTGAGAGGGGATCTAATCAGTGTATATAAGTACCTCAAGGGAGGGCGTGAGGAGGATGAGGCCGGCCTCTTTTCAGTGGTGGCCACTGACAGGACTAGAAGTAATGGCCACAAACTAAAACACCAGAAGTTCCACAGGAACTTAAGGAAAATATTCTTGACAGTGAGCGTGACAGAGCACTAGAACAAGCTGCCCAGAGAGGTTGTGGAGTCTCCTTCTCTGGAGATCTTCAAAACGCGCTTGGACGCAGTCCTGTGCCACGTGCTCTAGGTGACCCTGCATGTGCAGAGAGGTTGGACTAGATGATCTCTAAAGGTCCCTTCCAACTTTAAGGATTCTATGATTCTAACATATGTCTTTAGATATACATTTTTAGTGCATTGTTAATTAATTTGATGCACTCTATAGAAAATATTTTTAGTAAAAGTAATTGAAGCTCCTGTTGAAGAATTTCATTTCTCTAGTTACCAACATTTGCTTCCTAACTCAAATCAAGGAATGAAAACTATGGCAATGATAGAAGAAGCTTCCACTAAAGCTTCTGCTCCTTGCCACCTTTCCTCACAGCTATACAAATTACCCATGGAAATTGCTCTTTTAGAAATGGAAACATATTCTGAACAAAACATACGCAAAAATGGCATCAAATAAAATCAAAAGATAAATATCTGCAGTGAAGCCACCTATGAAAAATGGTTTCACAATTCTCAGCTTTCATCTATCATTTACCAAGTTCCATTGTACCGCAAGATACAATTATAATACAATGAAAACACTTGCAATATAACTGTTACTATAAAAGATATCTGCAACAATGTTTGGCAGAACTCTGTTTTTAAAAGAAATTTGAGTGCAGATAGAACTATGTACGGCAGATTTCACTGTGGCAGCAAAATCACAGAATCACAGAACGCTTAGGGTTGGAAAGGACCTCTACAGATCATCTAGTGAAACTGCCCTGCTCCAGCAGGGACACCTAGAGCATGTGGCAAAAATCATAACAAAACATCGTATGACCTTTCTGCATTTAAATTTTCAATCCAAATTGTGCATTAATAGAGTACTTGCAGCAGGACTAGAGAATGATTTATATAAAGCCTAGTGTTAATTACTGACTGTGATCAGGAAGATAAATGAGAGAATGTAAGGCTCTCAGTGGCACTCTCCTCAAGTCTTGCTTAATTTTCTTATGTACTGCCACTGTCCTCCAGGGGGCTATAAACTAGTCTTGAGGCCACCAATATGTCACATTCTTTCTTCCTTAGCTGCTCTCCATTCCTCTCCCTTTCCAAAGGGATAACACAGTTTGTCTCAGGAGGCTAACAGCAAATAAGCACCAGTACTAAAGGGTGTGTCTGAGGGGGGAGTCTCCTTTAACTTGCACCAGCATAGACAGTGCTGGTTTATGTTCCATACTGCCCTCCCTGTGAAAAAAAAAAAAAAAGGCACCTTTGAAAGACCAATGCTAGATGGCTCATATGGCATCTGCGTTTAGAAGCCTCGCACCTGAAGAGGCTATTTGCATCCTAGGGCTCAGGGTCTTCAAAGACTTTCAGAAGTTTTGATTTCATTAACCGAGCTTTCTGAGGAAGGCAACAGTTTGCAGAGGCAGTACAAAATTTCTCAAGTACATTGTTACAGATTAATGGAGTATAGAGTATCTTTAATGGGAAATTAAGCTGTAACAATGCACATCAAAATCTTTACACCTCTGCTGTAAAAATACTTATTAAAAGATACAGCCAGTAAAGTTAACCTTTACTTCTATAAAAGGGCTTTGCCATTTGGATCTGGCAGGCAGTCGCATTTGTCTCCCCTCCTCTGTCTTGCTCAGCTCTCTACAGTTCTTTTGGGGGTTTGCTTCTCGCTGAAGGTTTAGTGGTCACTGTCTCTTCTAGCTACATATATATTAAAAACTCTCAAAGTGGGAGACTCACACACAGCAACAAAACACCCTCAGCACCAAACACTTGTGTCTCATACTCAGAGATTCATCATCTGCTTCGTTCCCTTGACTCTTAAAGGGAATTAAAATCTTTTGAAGGATCATGCACCAGAGGAAAATGTAGAAAAAAAATATATAGGGAACAAAAAAACATAAAAAATAACAAACAAACAAAAATGTATGGTAACTAGTTTAGGTTTTGTGACAAATCTCCTGGCTCCCCCAAAAGCATATAAAAGAAATTAATATCAAGAGAGAACATTATTACACACTGGAGAATTTAATTAATGGAAGAAGCTGCCAAATTATTATTTTCTCATCACCAGAAAAAGAACTATTCAGAAAGAAGAAAAAGTTTGAAGTGAAACAGCTTTTTGACATAGTTTAAAGCTAAGTAACTTCTGCAGTGCAGTCAAGAACATCTTGGGCTGTGTCTACATTAGCTTTCTGATTAGGAGCAGTAGCTGAATCTCTAGCTATCCCCACTTATCTCCTGCCCCATCACTCTGCAGACCAGTTCATTGCGTGCAAACTATAAATTGCAGATGAAAGTACAACAGGAACTCCCCTGTAGGAGCCTACTGCCTGCCCTACAACTCCTAAGGGTGGCAAAAGGATTTGAAACAGTTCTTCTTTCAGAGCCTCACACCACATCCTTGGTGAGGAAATAATGTGCAGCAAATCAGGCCAAGTCCAAAGTAAAAGAAACCATTAACTTAAATATAGGGTAAATGCAGGCACCTAACAACCAACTGTTCCAAACTACTTACGTACTTCTGTTGCACTTGCAGACATACACACACAGCCTTAGCTTTCTCCAAGATTTCCACTTTCTGGAAATCTACTCTGTATTCACAGAGAAACAGAAAAAAAGATGGCATTTATGTTGTTATTGGAAATTGTTACACAGGTCAGCTCACCAAAACACACTGACCCTCACATGGAAATGCAAATCTGTACTCTCTACACTGGGTGCCTGATGCTAGAAAAGAAGCCCTTCACCTGAAGGAAGCCAGTGAATCGCGCATGGTTCTGCACATTGGAAAGCAGTCCCTGCATGCGGAGGAGCCTGCAGCTACTAAAAGCAGAAAAAAAAAAGGAATGCATGTGACGTATGATGCCTGTTCTAATAAAAATATAATCTTATAAAAACCTGGAGAACACGAACACGCTACGGAGAAAGCTCATGCCATATCTCAGAGTATCATCAGAGTATTTTCTGACAAAGCAAAGAAGAGGAAATAAACATTATTAAAAGATTAAAAGAAAAAGGAAAACAAACGGTAACACCAGAAAAAAAGTTTCCACCCCAAAAATGAAGTAATATAATACATAATTATAATATATGCTTATAACTAAATACACATAAATGAGAAAAACAGAACTGGCTCTTTAAAATATGAAACAGGATGTCAGTTTGTGCACTACACGTGCAACTTACGCAGCAGTTTCATTATCAAGTTTTGAACACTATTACTCCAAACACAGGGCTGGCAACTCACTGCCTAGCTTCTAAAAGCCTCTTTGGCTCCGGTGACGAGGGACTAAACCGCTTCCGGATAACTTTTTCCTGGTGCCTTAACGCGGGCCCGCAGCTCCACCGCCAAACCGGCAGCGCGGCTAACGCCGCAGCGACTTCTCAAAGCGCTCCAAGCTGTTAGCAGGGCGAGGGAGCGCGGATCATTACCTAGATAGATCAAGCCAAAGCCTCCCTGCCCGAGCTGGCGGCCCAGCCTCCACGCGTTGCCCTCCGTGTCTCGCAGCACCATGTCCGTCGGCAGTGGGGCGGGCAGCTTGCTCCTTCCACGCCCCTTAGGCGCCATGGAGAGCGCCCAAAGGCCTCCTTGGCGCAGCGACGCCCCGACAGGCCCGCGCGGCCGTTAGCGGCCGTTAACGGC